GAAAATTAAAAATACTAATGCGATGACATGCTAATTGTTTAGAGTCTAATTTGATAAAAAGAAGATCTTTTGCAAGACGAATATTATAACACAAATATTTAGAGAATCAAGGAAAGGGTTTACTCTTCAAACTAATATATAAATATTAACAAATCAAAGTGGCCCTAAACAAACTTTGCATAAATAAACTGTCACACTTGCCATATACCCCACAGCACTACAATAATCTTCTAGTGTTTTACCAGTCTGCTAATTTCCATCACAATACCATTGCATCCTTCTCTTTTATGGCCAACCCCATCTCTCTTTTTCTTTCTCCATAGCATGTAGCCGAATGATATGCTTTTTACCCTCAAGATGCTGCTTGTATGCAAACTCATCAATGCACCACAATTTGCATAATCCACACCATTTTTGCATATTTGGTGCCTCCCCACCTTTCTTATTAATTTCCAACTTCTGAAATTCAGCCTTGTGCTTTTTACCTTGAAAGTGCAGCTTGAGCAAGTCTTCATTCATGCATGAAACTTTACACATTTCACACCAATGCCTCTGATTGCTTCTTCCCTCTCTTCCATCTTTCTCACTGAACTCCAGCTCTTGCAATTTTTCCCTGTGCTTGTGACCTGTTAAATGTTGCTTGAGATTGAATGGACTTAAACAAGTTACTTGACAGATTCTGCAGTATAAATTATCTGTCTTAGCTTTGTGATTGAGACTGCCATGAAATGTTTGGTGATGATGATGAGCATTGCTTGTTGGTTCCTTTCGCTTAGTTCCTGAAAGGCATGGACTTGAAAATTGCCTTGAACTTGGAGCTAGCAATGGCATTGACTGGGAATCTTGATTTGATGATTTAACCTGAAAAGTAAATTTAGATTGAGACTCCCAGAATGGAAAGTGCGACCCATTATAGTATTTTCGAAAGAACCAAATGCTATGCTCTATATAGAAATCCTTTATAGTTGCAATCCTTGATTTTCATTTTGTTCAATAAGTCCTATAATTTTCTGATGGCGATGACATATGTTAATGCTTAGATATATGGTATGATGATATGACATTTCAAAGCAAGAGAACTTGTAAACTTCCAATTATTTCCTGAAAATTCTATCAAAATGAAAACACTTGTGCATAGCACAATCAACAAAAAGAATTTGAATTATAAGGCAAGCAAAACCACCCCATCAGACCCCATTATATCTTCCAATGGTAAGTATTAATTAGTAGACAATCCAAAAGGAGTTAAATATACTTATAATGCCAAAATATAATGAAAGAGGGATATTGATTGAAGGGCTAGTAGGGATATAAAAGTTGCCCTCAAACTAATAGCTATAACTTTTCACCCTCAAGGTTGTTTACAAAACTGTAATACCAGGCTACTTTGCCATAGAAGACAGGTTTAAAAACTAATATTACTCACAGAAGAGAAGATCAGAAAGGAAAATTAGCATGTGCAGAATAATTCTAATATTACTTCATAGAATTATTTATGATTCAGTTACTTTCTAGAAATAATATAATAATGACAGGGTAAGATATCACCTGCAAAGGAAGAATCTTTTCAGTGGAATTAGTATTTGGGCGCAAGTGAAATGCTGCTACAATCTTCCTAAATGCCAGCTCCCTCTGGATTGCTAGCTCCACTGACATTGTTTTTTCCTCCTTCCTTCCTTTACCAGCCATAGCTGAATTGTTTCTTCTGCAGTGATTTTCACACAATTTTCAGATGCCAATGTTGTGATTAGCAAAACATAATCACTACTTCAAACATGCTAGCTGACCAGTGGTATATATATTGTTTACAAGAATGGGGAACCAAATTTGTGAAAGCCACTAGACACAGCAAAAGAAAAAAATGAACATAAACACAGCAAAGTGTTCAAATAAGTTCTTTGTCCAAGAAACAAAATTTCCCAAACAAATTGCATTCAAGTCAAATGAAGCAAATATTCAACAGTCATTAATGGTAACAAAATTGGGTGATCATTGTTTTTTTTTTTATCTCACAAACTGCACATATCAAGCAGGGTTCTAATGTCATTTAGTAATATAACTTACTCAATGATGGACCTTGTTTCTATCTCCAACCTGATAAGTCCAAGAGATTTTTTCCATATAAGAAAACTAATGGTTTAAGGCCATGGACTTGAGATTTGAGAGAGGAAGGTTGCAATGACCGAGTGACCCTTCTGCATTAGAAATGTAATAGCCTAATAGGGGAATACAAGAGAAAAGGTACTAGGGTCATTATTGTCAATGAATAACCTGTCCTTCAAGGTAAAAACAGCATGATAGTAACTATTAACCAATGCCAATGGTATGTTCCTATTGCTTGATTCTTTAGTACTTAGCATGCCGTTTCCATTTACAATTTCACATTTACATATTCTGATAATTGTAGAATAACTTTTTCCTTTTTTGTATAAGAATTCAGAGTACTCAAGAACAAATATAGCTAAGTGGTTGACCAATTAGTACCTTTTGTATGAGTGTGATAGTGATGCATTCCAAAACTGGTATAATCTGGTACCTTACTCTTAACAACTTTTGTACAGAGCACAGTATCAATGCTATATTGTTTGTCCTTTCTTCCCTTGAAGCTATAAACAAACCTTCATGTACAAATGTCAGACTAATGATATTTTCTTTTTGGGCAAAATACTCTAATTTCCACTCTATTTGCTTGATCTTTCATATATACTCTTTATTTTCAAAAGCTACACATAAACACATTTATCTCTTGAAGATGTAATGACCACATCAGTTTTGTCCACGATCCTATCTTATTTTCTCTCCTTTTTTGTGTCTCTCTCTTCTTGCTCTGGTCATTCTTTTGTGAATGCATGTATCATTATGGTTTTGATTATAGACCAAATTTTAAGATAGCTTTAAGACAATGGATTTATACATAGGACTTAGTTTCTTCACGAAAAATCTAGCTCTGGTATCTCTTTTAAAGAACACAAGTACTTTTATTTCAAGCCCACATGATCTCTTCACTTAAAATTGGTAGTTGTTGTCTTCAATGTTTTATATTAGAGTAAAACCGCGCTTTTGGTCCTTAATAAAAAAATACTGTCATCATTTTATTTTCTTACAAAAACAAAATTTGTCTCGAGTTACTTAAGAAATTCAAAGTGTACTCATTTTATTGAAATCGTGGTCTTTTACGAATTCAAAAAAAAAAACCACATTAGTCTCTCAAAAGAACTAAAATTGATCCACTTTGAATTTCATAAAAACCAGTCGATTGATTTTTTTTGTAAAGAACTAAACTGAGAGCGTATTTTTTGTTGGGACCTAAAATGTGCTTTACTATTTATATTATTGTCACGTTTGAAAAATTAGAGACCGAGTAATCTATAGCCACTTCGCGATAATAGATTATCACATTAAAATATCATGTTACTGATAATCTAGTACCTGGATAACAAAATCTTGATTTTTATTGTTATAATTGATTATTAGAGTTCAATAATCAATTATAATGTCATGATAATAGACTAATCGCTGTCTGACATTATTTTCCATTTAAAATGTTTAAAAAATAGATGAATTAAATGGATATTTTTGTTAGAGAATAATATAAATCATTAAAAAGACCCTTACCTAACACCTTGAGATTTTGGGTTGAAGTGGTTCTTTACATGATATCAGAGCTTGAGTGACTACAAGGTCTCAAGTTCAATCCTCACCGCTCCCACTTTAAAGTGAAATTAAAATAAAAAGCACAAAAGGTAAACCAAAAATTGGGTCTCTGCAATATCCACACTTAAAGCCCAAAAGACTCTTGTGTGAGGGGGTGTGTTAGAGAATAATACAAATCCTTAAAAAGGCCCTCACCTAACACCTTGAAATTTTGGGTTGAAGTGATTCTTTACTTTGCCAATTTTAATTACATTTTGAGTTGATAATTGTTGACTAATAGTTCTATTCATCAATTTCATCTTGGGTTCCCTATTTGTCATTTGACATGACAAGAGCACTTTCCTACACACACAAATCAAGTGTGGGTCCCACGCTTAAAAAAAAAAAGTCAAACCAAAATCAGGATACGACGCCGTATCCTTAGAATACGACGCTGTATCCTTGTTGCAGGAATGAACAGTGTCATTCCTGCAACATGATTCTTATATTTCTCTTTCATCTTATGCGTAATCGAATTTTCAGTGTAGAATCATTTCAAAATAAAAAGGATATTTGTTGAATATTAAAAAAAGATATGTATAACTTTGAAAAATAAATAAAAATATTTGAAAACTGAGGAGAATTTTACTCTTTTTCATTTTTAGTTTCACCTTAACTCTCTTTAAAGCGTCACTTAAATTTTAATGGCATGTGTATTTAGATTATGAACTATTGCTTTTAGTACTAGAAAATACCAATAAAGATAACAGCAGGTACTTTTTTTTTTTTTTTTATATATAGATTTTAGATTGTCTTTAGGCTAAAGAGTCAGTAACTCATATTTTCTCCTTTATTTATAAATATAACTAATTGGCTTTGATTAATAACACTGTACATCACTTCATTCAATGTAAAAGTCACATTTGTTTTCCAAATGTATACCTAATATGTATTTATTAAAAAACTATGAGTACGTTATCATGACATTTCATGTGATTTTGAAGGTCAGACTTACATATATAAATTCAACACTTCTATAATATGATTCACTCCCTGTTGTTTCTGAGTTCAGGAATCCTCCAAAAATTTAGTTCTCTTTGTTTAAAGAATGAGATATAATTCTACTACTGAACGGATAGAAAAAAGAAAACAAAAAAATAATACCATGCCATTTGGACAAAATGAACAGCGGTGCTGATTATTCATCAAAAGGTGTTAAACAGATGCAATGAACAAAATTGTGCAACTTCTTCAACATGATGAAGTTTCTTTACACAATATAAGAATCAACTGTGCATGACATGTTTTTTTCTATGTAAAAACTGTATTGCAACTTACACTATGCACATTTTTCTGTGTGTGTGTGTAAAATCCCAGATCATTTAATTTCCTAATCACAAAAGAAAAACTAAACAAAGTGCCCATAATTTGAGTCTCCCTTTGGGTTGTGTATCTTAATCAGCATAGCTAGAACTTCCTTCATGTTAGGCCTAACCTGTGGTGAGTCATGGGTACACTTCACCCCAACTTGGAGCAACTCACCCATCTTATTTGCACCCTCAACTACCCCATAGTCCACCAAGAAAACTGGCACAAAGTGACTTAAACCATGTCTTCCAGAATCCATGACACGCTTAACACATTCAACCAAACACTCTTCTCCTCCATCAACTGCTCTTCTTCCTGTTGCTAACTCCATAGCCAACACCCCAAAACTATATACATCACCTTTTGTTGTTGCTTTCCATGTTTGTCCATATTCTGGTGCAACATACCCCACTGTGCCAGCCACTATTGTGCTCACATGACTATCTCCAGCATCAACAACTCTAGCAAGTCCAAAGTCTGTGACTTTGGCCTTCCCATCATTGTCTAGCAACACATTACTAGCCTTAACATCTCTATGCACTATTGAAGGGTAGCATTCATGGTGTAAATAGACTAGTGCCCTTGCCACATCAATTGCCACCTCTAGGCGCCTCCTCCATGTCAATTTTGTTCTATCAGTCACAAGATCCTCCAAGCTTCCACCTCCTATGTACTCATAAACCAGTATCTTCTGTGAACCATGTAAGCACCAACCATAGAGTGTGACAAGGTTTGGATGAGGCCAGCCAAATCCATGACCACTCAGAACCTTCATTTCAGTTCTGAATTCTTTTTCACCTTCCATGCCTTCCCTTTGGAGCTTCTTCACTGCCACTTCTCTCCCATCTGGGAACACTCCCCTATACACTGTCCCAAAGCCACCTTTTCCTATGACTCTTTCCTCTCTGAAGTTGCCGGTTGCTTCCAATATGTCAGCATGTGTGAAAACTGTCTTGTTCAAGTGGAATATCTTAACAGTATCAGATAACCATGTTGAGGATCCGGAGCTGTCTGAATGATGCACCTGTTTTCTATCCCTCAAGTGGAATCCTGATTCCACAGATGGACTCTTCACCAAGAAATAGACTATAAGCGAAAGAAATCCAAAGACCAAGATAGCCAGTGTTATAGCCAAAAATAGTGACCATTTTGTGGACTCTTTCAGGTCTTTGTGATAGGTCCTATTTGTTCCATCTGGACTGTTATAAAAGAACTTTGGGAGGTTCAAGAGGGGGTCACCCAAATATGAGTCTCTGTCAAAAGTAAGTAAGTGCCCGGATGGTGGGACTACACCAGATATGAAGGGATTGTATGAGATGTTGAACCTGCTAAGCCCATCCAAGTTGACCAAACTTGTAGGAAATGTCCCAGAGAAATTGTTCCAAGACAAATCCAGATCCTGCAGACACTTCAAGTTGCCAATTTCAGTTGGAATTTCACCTGAAAATTTGTTTCTTGTCATGTTCAAGACTACAAGAGTCAAATTTCCAATCTCTGGAGGGAATTTCCCAAAGAATTTGTTATCCCCCAAATGAAACATACTAAAGTTGAGCATGGTTCCAATTTCTGGAGGAATTTCACCACTGAGCTGGTTCCCACTTAGCTGAACATATCCTGATATGTGGGATGATATAGAAGAAGACCCATATGTGCACATGGGGAAAATACCATATCCTTTGAGCAATCTGTCCCAAAGAGCTCTACAATTCTTCCTTGTTAGGATGGTATACACAAAGCTGAATGGAGGGTAATTAGCAGGTATCCATCTCCTCATTGATAAGCATTCACTATTGCCAGCAACAACTTGACCAAGACTCTTACGATTTGATTCAAATGTGGCCATGGCATTTCTTCCAATTTTTGTTAACTCAGAAGGTAAATTTCCAGACAATCTGTTGTTTGCAAGGTTCAACCATAACAAGCTTGTGCAGTTTCCCAACTCTGGTGGGATTTGACCTGTTAATGCATTATCTGCAAGCATTAACCACAAGAGAGAACTCAAGTTTCCAAGGCTTGGTGGGATTGGTCCACTGAAACTATTGAAGGCAAGATCAAGTGCGTGTAGGCTAGTCAATTTTCCCAATTCAGATGGAATAGGTCCAGTGAACTGGTTGTAGGTTAATGTTAAGAACTTAAGACCAGACATTTGAGAGATTTCTGAAGGTAATGGACCTGAAAAATTATTGAAGCTTATGTCCAACCTGTAAAGGTCTGTCAATGTAAGAATGCCTGATGTATTCAATCCTCCAGTATAAGAATTTGAGTTCAACAGAAGAAACTTCAGTTGCTTGAATTTCCCAAAAATCTCCTGTATCTCCCCACCAAATCTGTTTCTGCTCACATCCAAGATAAACAAATCGGTCAAGTTCAAAAGTGTGTCAGGAATATCTCTTGAAAAACGATTGTTCTGCAAGAACAATGATTGAAGACCTGAAATTGATCCTATTTCTCTGGGAATATCTCCAGTAAAATTGTTGCTAGAAAGATTAAGAATCACTAAATTCTTGCAGCTAGCAATCTCACTGGGGGCCTTACCAACAAACCCATTTACAGAAAGATCCAATTTTTCAAGGCTACAATTCCCTGAAAAAGCTTGGGAAGGAACAACCCCACTGAGATGGTTTTCAGAAACTGAAAACTCTCTCAGCCTGGCAAATCCAATCCACAAGCCCCCACTTACATTGTTTGTGCTTAAATCCAAGTACTGCAATCTCAAGCACTGATCAAAGCATCTATCAATCCCACCAGTGAAGAAATTATCTGAAACATTCAAAGTAACTAAACTATCACAAATGGCAGGGAAATTCAACCCAAGTTCCCCATAAATTCTATTAACAGACAAGTCCAGTGTTTGCAAGCGTGTCAAGCCAGTCAAATTCAGCTCCCCCTCAAGAATATTATGAGAGAGATTGAGATACACAAGCTTCTTGCACCTCCTCAAGTCCACAGGAATCACCCCAGAGAGTGTGTTCCAAGAGATATCAAGGTGTGTGAGCTCAGTGAGCTGAGAAAAGTTCTGGAACATCTCACCAGCTATGTCACTGGCAGAGAGGTCTATACTCACAACCCTCCATGTTGTCCCATTGAAGAGGCTGCAAGAGATTCCTGACCATTCACAAGGATTTGAACTATTCTTATTCCAGTTTATATATCCTCCTCTATTTGCAAGAGTTTGATTTTCCAAGTATGATTTCAGCTTCAGTAGAACTTGTTTGTCCGTGTCCAATGAATCCCCAGCAACAAATTTACCTGTAGAATCACACACAAAAGCAGAATTGTCTTGGTGAATGGGAAAGTTAAATTATAAGACAGCATCAACCTCGGAAAACCAGAATCAAAATATATATATATATATACCCAAAAAAACTGTTCTGAGAAGAATATAAGAATACCCCACCAGGTTAATATTGATTTGATTAAGGTATTATGCATCATCAATAAACAAATTATTATATGAAAATCTGGGTATTATGCATAACCCAAAAAGAAGTTTAAGGCCAAAAAATAAAAATAGAAGAGTTTTGAGTTAGTACCTGAGAAAAGGATCAAGAAACAGAATACCAGGAAGCCCCATGAATAGGTTTCCTGCTCTGACATCAATGATCCTTCTCTTGTGCTGATTGTTGTTCTTCTTTGAGAAAAACTCATGTACGTGATGGTTCTTCAAGAATAAAACAAGAGTGAATCTTTAAAGGGTTCAAAACTGTGAAGAAGTTGAAGCCATTGGGATGTTTGTTGGAGTGGCATAACAGTAATAGGAGGTGGTGGTGGTAGACAGAAAAATTGAACTTGGAACATAATGGTTCGTATCTTTCTCTTTCATTTTTCTTTGTTGTGATATCATGTTAGAAGAATAAGTGAGTAAATTGAACAAATGAACAATTGTTATTTATTGTTGTTGTTATTATAAAAGTGTAGTTTGATGTTGTTTGTTCTTCACGAATGTCAAATCAGTTATGTGTTTCAAAGTCGGAGTATTTGTTTAATGATAAATATTTCAATGGTCACAGGTAGCAAAAGAACTCGAGTAATAAAGCCTTTTTGGATTTGGTGACAAAGTGGCGGTCGAGCCGCCCTTGCTGACCGGTTCGACCAAGATTGGCTCGCACGGGTTTGACCCTTCTGCGCAAAGACTACATTTCTTTTCTTTTTGTTAAACAAAGACTGTATTCTTTAGCTAATAAGTATATATATATATACATATATACGAATATGAGATACGTATATTATATGATACTGATATATGAATATGGTAAATTTTAAACATTATAGAATAAATATTAGGGGCATGTTATATTTACAAACTTTTTTGTTTACAAACTCTTACAAATTACACTAAGTATGACCGGTCATACTTTAATCATGCAGTGTACAACCGGTCGTACTTAGTGTAATTTGCAAAAAAAAAAAATTGTAAACGGATCCTATCCCTAAATATTATTAAGGACAAGGATAGATATAAAAATCGAGCGATAAGGCCATTAGATTTTGTTGTTATCGTTATCTATTCTTAATATCAATGATATTAAATCTGAATCGATCATCAATTCAGTTGGGGTACCGAATTAATGGATTACTCATTTAACTAATGGATCACTGGCTAAATTGTTTAAATTGAATTTATGCAAAAATATATAATAAATATATTGAGCAATATAACAACTAAAGTAATTTAACTTAGTGGTTAATATGTCACTTTTCTTCCTTTAGGTGCCAAGTTCGAATTCTAGGAGCGCAATTGCAGTGAAATATTATAGCCTAGCCCAACGGACACCAATAGTGTCACTATACAGCTCTTCCCTGCAACCAGGAGGAGGAACATCAAAAACTTGCACTACCCAGGAGAAGCCATATGAGTAAGTGGCAAGAAAGTCTGACACTATTTTCCCTTCGCGATGGATGTGAGACATACAGACACACCAGCAACGATGTAACATGTTTTTAATACGCTGCACCAAGTTTGCTGTAGGATGATCAAGATGACACCCATTCGTTATAATCTGCTGGGCTAATAGGGAATCTCCTTCCAACCACACTTGTCTAAATCCTTTATCCCAATCCTACTACAAACCCACCAAACAGGCCCATAGTTCAGCATGCAAGACAGTACCTGATCCTAAGTTTTTACAAAAACTGAAAATCCAAGCTCCTAACGGGTCACGTAAGACACCACCACATCCTGACCTGTTACCAGTTTTGGCCCCATCAACATTTAGCAAGGTGCTTATGCCACAACTCCATGCTAGGTCTATTGGCTTCTCCACCATTTATTTTTCCTTACATGACATATAAGTATCCCTCCTTCTTACCTCGGACTACTACCAAGTTTCCTTTGGTCAACTTCCACCTTCCGCCTCCAAAATAATTCACTAACCCGATATCTGAAAGTAAAATGACCTAGAAGGTCGAGGCATGTGATAGGGAAAAACAAAAAAATTTCGCTAGCGGAACACACATGCACATCAAGATACGTGCTTTAAGACGTATATTATACCTTTGTTCGTGAAACTTCAGGATGATCAAGGTCAGGTTTGAAGGGTTCAAACCCTCTAACGTTGATCCACACCACCCGCGTCTAGATGCAAGAACTCCTTCTTGTAGAACCACCAATTGATCACCACAATGAGGCTTGCTATGCGCTCAATGTATGAAAGAGGAGGCTAGGCGAATGTGTTTAGAAGAGTGATGTTTTCAGAGAGAAAACCTCATAAGGTGGCGCATGGAAGGAGGAGAGAATGGCTAGGTCTTTTTCACTTAAAAACCCTAAGGAGGAACACACTTATATATAGCACAAGAGAGTGAGGGAATAAATAAGTGAAATCAGATTTTTCACTTCAAAATCCCATGAAAGTGGCGCACAAAAAATGAGGAGATAAAGGAGTTGTTGCAATTCAAAACTCCAAACAACCTCTCGATTGAATCCTTATGAGATAAGGTCTTTATCTAATCAAGATTCTGACCTGATGGTCATCACATGACCACTCATACTGTGCGCCCCATTCAGTCCCAAAAGGAGTCCAGATACGTTTGAGTAGTTGCATTCAAACTTGAATCAACTCACTCAAATATTCTCCCAACAGACCGTATCTTTTAGAGCTGATTTTGATGACTAAATGACACTCACCAACAGCCAAAATGAGCGCCCCAATCTTCTTGGATCATGTCCAAAAGATCTCCTCTTGATACTAGTGATTTGTTCCAACAAGATCTTATCTTATCCTTTTATTATGAAACAACTTTTCATAGCCAATTCAAATTTGAATTCAAATATTTAAATTTGAATATTCAAACATTCAAATTCAAATTTCAAATTTCAAATTTCAAAATTCAAAATTCAAATTTCAAATTCAAAATTCAAAATTCAAATTCAAATTTCAAAATTCAAATTTCCAATTCAAAATTCAAATTTCAAAATTCAAATTCCAAATTTCAAAATTTAAATGTTTGATAATTAATTTAACCAATTAAATTAATTAGTAGTGTCTTGGACTATCCAAGCCCATTACTGTGATCCATGCGCCCTCCACCCTCAAGGTGGACTTCCAAACTACTTCTTGGACTAATGACCATTATTAGGCCCAATACCTTTAATGCTAGTTCATCTATACAATTGGGTGTTAGCGTGTGACCCATTAGGTCCAACATAGCCACTGACATAAATGGGTTTGGGCCCAATAAGCCCACAACCCATCTAATGACAACACAGAGCACTAGCAATGCTTTGTTGCCCTAGAACTAGTTAGATTAATGACTTGATCATCCTATTACACATATTTGGTTGCCGTATGTATTTCCCTTCGTCTCGGTTACCTTCCCATTAACCTAGGGTAAGGAAATGTATCAACCCTTGCGGTTTAGGGTAAGCTTTATTCGAAATAAAGAATCTTCAATTTACTGACTCTAAAGGCAGATCATCTCATGATCTCTTTTACTATGCATAGATTCCCGAGTCCCTGTAAAAGTCATCCTGATTTCTCCGGTTTACAGATAACCTAATCTCTCACAGAGATTTGACGAATTCCTTCAGCTTATCACCCTAGCCATGTGCTCTTTCAGGACAAGCCCAATAGTATACCTATGAGTCTCCATGTTTCAGGCAGATAAGGTATACAGTCAAAGCATGCCTTCTAGAACAAGTCTAGGTAATAACTTCTGGTCTAAGGAAAGACATACCCAAATATAAAGAGACTACTCTAATGATACTCTCTGTGAGATTTTCTCATAGAGTCTTTTTTGTGGGTCTGTTCAGTGCGAGCTATACCCTTATAGGTCCACCCACGACTTTAGCTAAGACATCTCCATATCTGTAGCACATGAGGTCTTTACCTTGTAACCGTATACAAGTAGATAAGTCGTGCTAGTCTTATCCTAGATCACTGATCCTCATTCTCAGTGTCTCTAGACTAGGAACATAAAATTAGGAATAAGCGTGCAGTATCCTTGAATCCTCATGATTGTGATCTCATCACAAATACTCAAGAGATACCTGTTCTATTCCAAGGGGTGTATCCAGTTACTCATATATAATATTAACAGTAATATCGAGACATAATATGAAACAGGATAAAGAGTGATTTTTATTTATTTGCGACAATAAAGGTCTACATTTAATGTCCTTATTTAATCAAAAGATTGTCTCTAGGACACCCATATACTAACAAGCTCCCACTTGGCCTAGAGCCAATCAGACCTAAGTCGTATACCCAAAGCCTCATAATGACTGTCATGTTTTCTCTAAGAAACAGCCTTTGTCAGAGAATCGGCCAGGTTATCATCTTTGGGAACATAATCCATCTTTACATCCATTCTATCAATGATTTCTCTAATCAGGTGATATCTGCGGAGCACGTGTTTAGATCTTTGATGAGACCTAGGTTCCTTTGACTGCGCAATGGCTCTTGTGTTGTCATAAAGCAATTGTATGGGCTCATCCACGCTTGGAACCACCCTTAGTTCAGATATGAACTTCTTGATCCACACGACCTCCTTAGCCGCTTCTGAAGCAGCTATGTATTCAGCTTCTGTCGTTGAATCTGCTGTTGTCTCCTGCTTGAAACTCTTCCAAGATACTGCCCCACCATTTAAGGTGAATACGAACCCTGACTGTGACTTGCAGTCATCTTTGTCACTCTGAAAGCTGGCATCAGTGAACCCTTTCACTGTTAGCTCATCAACCCCACCATAGACCAGGAACGCATCCTTAGTTCTTCTTAAGTACTTAAGGATGGTCTTGACTGCTGTCCAGTGACCCTCTCCAGGGTCAGACTGGTATCTGCTCGTAATGCTCAAAGCATATGAAACATCTGATCTCGTACATATCATGGCATACATGATGGATCCAATAGCCGAAGCGTATGGAATTCCACTCATGCGATCCTTCTCAGGCTGTGACTTAGGACACATAGCCTTTGAAAGATGTACCCCATGACTGACAGGAAGAAAACCCCTTTTCGATCCTTCCATGCTAAACCTTTTTAACTTTTTGTCAACATACGTGGATTGAGATAAACCCAGCAGCCTCTTGGATCTATCTCTATAGATCTTAATACCAAGTATAAAGGCCGCTTCTCCCAAATCCTTCATGGTGAAGCTTTTTGAAAGCCACTCTTTCGTTATTTGTAATGTGGGGATGTCATTTCCTATCAACAATATGTCATCTACATAAAGTAATAGGAAGACGACATTACTCCCACTAACCTTCTTGTAA